ACATTGTTGCGCACAGCGGTAAAATTTGCATAAAACACACAGCGGGGCGACTCTGACGGGACAACAAACGATGGCGTTGGAAGCGGCAGGGCGGCAGGGGAAGACGGAATAGGAAATAAGGATACCGGAGACAGCGGCCAACATGTGGTATGAGTAATTTCTTGCTTAAGCACAAGACAATGACACGAGCGTGGTTTATGATTGTGCTTTTCTATCTATGTGTGTGCGTGTGGGGAAATGACGGGATTGAATAAAACAATTTTCATACAAATTCCGTGCATTTGCATAAATTTCATGCACTACAGAGGACGTGGCGATGTCGTCATTTTCATCATTCTCATCTACTTAGCAAAGTGCGATGCAGCACGCATCCTCCGCAAAGGACATCGGCAGAGGACAGAGACTAACGAAGGCATCAGAGCATGACATTTCAGTGACGCGTCGAGTATCTGGCCCCCACCTCAACCCCGATGGCAGGACCTGTCCTCTACGGCGCTTCACACGCCTGCAAAAGTTTTGCGGCAAACTTTTTTGTCGCTTTGGCAATAATCATAAAATTTCACTGCATATGAAACAAAAAACCATAAAAACCGTACAAAAAGGAGCAAAAGAAACGTGATTGCAGCATAAAAGCGTCATTTACATGCCGTTGTCGCTGCACTTGCATCACTCTCCAAGCCAGCTAAGTGTCCTGGCTGCCATTCTGGTCTTGCTCCTGTTTCTGCTCCTGGTCCCCGTTCTCGTCCTTGTCATTTGTCGTGTTCCTGGTCCATTTGCGCATGCGTCACAAACTTTTCCGTTTGCCATTTGCCGCCTCAATGGTTGTGCCAGTGCCAGGGCCCACGGCTTTATTGAGGTTTTGTTTAAGCTTTTAGCGTAGTTTCCACTTTTTGGGTGGATTTTGCCGAGGACGGGGAATCCCCATTCCATTCCATTTGGCCGAAAAAAAAAGTTTTTTTCGCTTGTGACTGTATGTGTGTTTGGCCGGCAGCATTTTTGCAATTAGGCAACTGTTCTATACGAGAGAGAGTGTATTTCTTTTTTACTTTTTCCCTTAGTTTGCCAAAATGCAATGGAACTTTTCATTTTCGGCCACAGTTGCACAGAGTTTTCATTGCTAACAGCATTCGCCACACACACACATAGAGAGAGACAGAAATTGGTGCGTAATTGAGACCGAATGTAAAGTGGACTCTGTTGGAGGCCATAACAGCTTTTTCGTATCCTTTTTCTTTAGTCCCTTTTTTTGGTAGAGCAATTTGAAGAGGAATATTTATTAAATTATGAGTGGGGAATATATTTTTTAATTGGATATGGTATTTTTTTAGTACGAGTTTCAAGCGAATATTTCATATTATAGGGAAAAAATTGTGAACAAACTCGGGAGGAAGAAATTATACAAATAGAATCCTTTATTGATAAATTTCGCATATTACAAACATTAATTTTTAAGTTGATTGAGCGCCTGGGATATTTTTGAAAATTATAATATACATTATTTTTATATCCTTACGGGGCATTACAATTTCAGTCAGAAGCTTGTTCCTACATGAAGAAGTCATTTCCGACTCTATAAATCATATACATATATTATTGATCATTAATATCCAAATCGATCTGGATATCTCAGTCCAAAAAACAGAATTACAATTTTTTTTGATAATTTTATGAGGGGTTACATCGTTAAAATTGTCAAAAATTGGCAACATTTTTAATATTATTTTAAATTTCAATATGATTATGAAGATTTATTAATCTAATAAAAACTAACATACAAAAGCTTTCTGAATAGAAATTAATGCATTTTTAACTTAGGTATGAAATTCTTAAAATATGATTTTCTTCCAAAAATAATACACTCAAACATAGATAATCAATGATGTAAAAAGTGCAAATTTCCAGTACATCCTGAGGGCATAAAATACGCAAATCGCCACTGATTGCCAAAAGCCATATATATTCCGAATCACAATTTAAATCCTAACTAATTAATAATAAAAAAAATATGTAAAAATAATTGTTTAATTCTTTAGAATTTTTGAAAATTTTAAAGGGGTTACATCGTTAAAATGTTCAAAAATTGGCAACAATTTTAAAAATTGTAAATTTTAAATTAAGTATGCATATTTGTTAGCCTTGTAAAAAGAAGAATAAAAATACTTTCCGAATTGAAATTAATGCATATTTGGCTTAGTTATGATATTTAAAAAAATAATGATTTTCACAGTTAAAATGTTCAAAAATCGATACAAATTTTAATATATTTAATTTTATATTCAGATTCATGCAGTTAGTTTCCTTGTTTTTTTACCAACAAAAGGCTGATTGAATAATGTTTTTTAGAAAATATATATTTATATAAAGATTTTAAAGCTGAGTTATGTTACCTAAGGCTATAGATGTCCACAACTTCACCCCAATCTCTACCTTTACTCCTCACCTGCACCACCTGCCTTTTGGTTTATACAATACAAACGTATATCGGGTTGTGTAATCTATTTGCTTGTTGAACTTGTGTTTGTCACTTCATTCCATTTAGCGCTAAGCAAGCGGAAGCCTCATCAATATGATGGTCGTGCCGCATTATCAAACGTATTTATTTGGCAAACAGCTAGAGATAACATATAAGCAGAAACAAGACGCCGGCAAAAGCCGAGACATAAAGATAAACTAAGACGCTCTTATCGCCGGAGATGAAAGCAAGAAAAATTGCAAAGGAATTGCCAAAAAAAAAGATACACGCACGCACACACACACGCCAGGATGCGGATGCTAGAAGTGGCACGTGGACCTGGAAAGGAAACGAAGGGACAGGACAGCATTGTGGATACAAAAATATTGCCCACGTTGACAGCTTAACGTACATAATTAATGTGACAATCTAAGGGAATGCGTGTGTCCGTGTGTGTGTGTGTGCGGACATTAATATATGGGCATTGGGCCAGATAAACATGTTGCCAAAATGATCACAAACACACAACCATGTGTGTGTGTGTGTGTGCCACATCTGACGACGCTGGGCATTAATTACAGGCTGGGGATGATGCTTTCTGGCCAGTGCTCAACTTAAACCGCCAACTCATTAAAGGAGCGCAGAAAACTTTGGCGCAGCCAACTGGGCGTATGCGTGACGCGCGCTAAATAAAATTGAGAGACAAACAACAAACATTAAAAGTTTTTATTGTCCAAATGCGGTCTCGCCAAAAATATATAACTGTGCACATCCGCAGACACACACACTCGCACACACACAGCAGAGCCTCCTTGTCGGCAACAAAAAGCATTAAATTACTTTATAATCCGTTTATAGCTTTGCCCGGAAGTGGCCCAGACACACACACCAGCACACACACACAAACAAACAAACAAGTGCCGGCAAACACTGCCACACACACACACTCTCGCACACACTCTTGGCTCTCTGAAGCGCCCCTTGGGAAGGCAGCTCAACAGCATAATCAAATCAAAGATTACGTTGAAACATTGAAATTACGTCCCGAACAGAAAGCACTCATAGTCATAGACACTACCACACCAGTCAGGATACACACACACACAGAGGCAGGGACATGGGCCGACTCTTATTTCCAGGTCCTTGTTGGCCAAAAATTAAATGGCTTTTCCGACTGCACTCACAAACTTTTTGATACAGGAATTAGATGATAATTTTATCAGCAATAAATTTTGGTAGGTCATCAAGCTTTATTTCAAACGGATTTTCAGTATTAAAACTTAATAAACACATAAGTTTATTATAATAAACAGTAATTATAAAATAAATTAAATAAAATGCTGTACCGAAATACCATCTCATAAATATGATATGTATAAACTTGTATAAATTTGAAAGGGAAGCACCTTGCTTAAAGTAACCATCCCTAAACTAATCTATTCGAGGTCTTTGATAATTTCACATTTAATTTAAAAAATAAATAAGCATTTGTTTCAACATACAAAAAATTGTATTTTCATAACAAAAATCATTTTTTATAAGCCATATATAAAGGCAATCTTTCAATAACCTTAAACCTAAACCTTCACCCATAAGCTTTTTTCAATATATTACTTTTTTTATAGAAAACCCTTCCCAAAATCCATTAAAATAATTAATTAAAATCACTTAAACATTCACTAAAAAAGTTAGTTCAATTAATTACCCACATAGTTCCTATTAAAACCATTTTTATTAAAAGCCAAGTTGACCATAGTTTTAGAACGGTTTTGCTTAAAATAATTGTTTCCAATTAATTACTGCTTGTAGAAACTAAATCCTTAAAATCTCTCCCCTTTTAAGTTGCCAAATGCTTTAAATGAAAATAACTTTTTCAAATGAATTACTTTTCATAGGACCCAATGAATCCCCCCTTTTTTTATTTTTGAGGACCCCAAACTATACCTAACGTGAGGCGTTGCTCCGGCCGGGGTGCAAACAATTACAAACATAAAGCGAAAGGCTGTACAACTTTGACCCTGGAAAACGTAAACAGCAAGAACTACGGAACTATGAGGCTAAAAAAAAAAAGAAAACACTAGACAATAACAACAAAAAAGCGGGGAAAGCGTAATAACTTTACTTCATTCATGCACACAAGGTGATTCATGTTTCACATCCTGCAAATACAACCTGCGCACTCTCTCTTTGTCGCTCGGGTTACGGCTCGCTCTCTCTCTCCCTCTCTTTCGCTCGGGCTAGTGGCATCTCGCTCTCCTCGCAAAGGGTGGCAACCTTAAAAAGGACGAAGCTGGCTGTAGCCAAAGTCACGGCTTTTATCAGTTGGCTCGCCGACTTTGGCCTGTGAACATCGTCGTCGCCGCGCTGCTAAATTTCCCCACATTTTCCGAGATTTTACCCCCCCCCCCCATTGGTGATAGTTCTGTGTGCGTGTGCGTGTGGCAAGGGCGCCAAGTTTTCGGTGAGACTTTAACCACCAGTAAACAACAACAGAGCCGAAAAGAGACATTCACCAGAGATAAAAAAAGAAAGGACGAGAAAACACAAACCGAAAAAACCACAGGAAAAAAAGGAAAAGTCAAACAGAGCCGCCGGCCTTGGAAAGTTGTCACAAAAACCGCAATCAAAAATAGTAAACAAACTCGGGGAATTCGATAAAAATCAACAAGGGAAGACGACGCCGTTAAGTAGGCAACAAACCAGCTGCTGGCCAACATGGAAATGGACGTTAATCGCCCGACTGCCCGCCATGGCAACCTAATGACCATTTCCGCCCGCTGCTCTAACAACAACTCGGGCCCGGCCATGACAGGAAACGGAGCCATAACCGGATGTGAGACGAGTTCCGGTGCGTCGCCGCCCAGCGGCTGCTGCGGCATCTTGAGCCGCCTCTTTTGCGTGAGTCGCCACAAGGCCACACAGTCGGTGGCAGGCAGTGACTTGCCCCTGGCCCAGCTGCAACTGCAACAGCAGCAACACCAGCAGCAGCAGCGCAAAGGTGCAACATCCGGCTGTGCTGCGGTTTCCGGACAGCGACGGCGTCGCACGCCACAGGAAATCTACTTCGAAAGTCGCGGCAAGTCCTGCAAGAAGCTATTGAAATTCAATGGTAATTCAAACAAGGTGAGTGGCTCTATATCAAGGCACTGACAGAAAATATACTTTTGATTTCTTAAAGAAATAAAGAAATAAAATAAAAATACAATTTAAATAAATTAAGGTCTTGTAAGAGTCTTCTTAAGTTAGGCATGGCTTTACTTAAAAGAAAGTGAAGATATACTGATTTCTTCGATAACTTTTAATTCAATTTTTATCCAGACTTTGACTTGATTTTCTAGCTTGGGTTTCTGTGTAGTTGAGCAGAATTTCAATAAGTTAAGCAGCACAAAAGAAAGAGTGATTCTGCTTGATTTATATAAAATCCTAGTTCGCGTTCTCTTTCACATTAAGGATTCAGTGGAATAAAATGGAATAATCAGGGCTTACCAAGGATTGAGGATTGCCTTCCCAACGAAGTTGATTTAAAATCATGAGAATTTTTTATATGGAAGCTTTAAATTAAACGTTAACAATAAAATAACAAAAAAAACAAAACAGGTAACAATAGGGAATTCAATTTGAAATCCAATTAATTCCAAACCGGACCCACTTCAACTTTCCAAATATATTTTAAGAGGCCCAAAATGAATTCTTTTCTTGTATTGGGAAAAAACACACCTTAAGAGAAGTCCCAATGCTTATCGCATAATGGAACAATTCCACCTCCTTTTCTCGAGCACACTGCAAACAATCCTAAAAGTGCATAAATTTTACAGTCTCCTGGTTACATTGTCATCCATTCCAAGGCAGAGACCCCAAAGCCAAAGCTCTGGCGCCAAAGTGCCAGGAGCCATGAGCCATGAGCCACTCAACCGTAAGGTAGCCAATACCCGGGGGTACTCAGGCCCCCTTGAACCCCTCAGCCCCTCCCGCACAATTATGCATATGATGTGAGACTGTGTGTGTGCGGGGCCTTTTGTTATAAATTTTGGAAAATTTGTAGCCAAAGCTGTAGAGTGAAGTTCGCTCGATTGCTACCGGCTTGTTTGGCCTAACATAGGTAAAAGGCAACAAACGCGGTATGGGAAATCGGGAGGGGAAAATCGGGGAGGGAAATCGAGGAAAATAGGGGCCAACGCACACATACACACACAAACACAGGAGCACGCTTATGCCACTTTGCATATAAATCATTTGGCATTGTGGCCGGAGAGCGCAATGCGCTTATGAAATATTTCGTTTGTTTAATGCGCCAAAGGACAAACATTCCATTCACCAGACCCACATTTTGCCCCTCGGATCTCTACGAAATACCCACTAATTAAAAACGTGCAAAAAGAAAAGCCAATCAAACAGGTCGATGCACAACAATGGCCAGTGTGTGTGTCTCTCTTGTTTTCCAAAAAAAAAAACCGAAAAAAGTAGATGTTCAAATAACACAATGCACTGAGAAAACATGCAATTAAATGGAGGATGAAAAATACTTGGAATAAATAAATACCTTCTTATATATTTATATTTATTTAAATTATAAAAAGGCTAGAAATAAACAAAGAATATTCCAAAAATAAATACAAAGGCTTGAGTATAGAGGTGCTTGGTCAAGAGTATCACAATTCCATATTTAAATCTATCTAAATAATCCTAAACAATTTCCATACATATATTTAAACTCTTTTAATTTTGTGTTACTTATTTATGGATAACTAAGCCCCAACTAATACTTATCTTAATATATCCCAGTCATGTTTGCTAAACAAGTCTTAGATACAAAGCTCGCTTGCATTTTTAAGGCATTTCATCCCCAATATTAAATTTTTCCTGTGTGTTTTTGCTTATTTGCACATCTTCGTTTTTGTGAATCAAATGCACATTTCACACACATTCGCCCACAGCCACTCCCACATCCACTTGGAGTGTGCAATCTGCCGACCATCACGCACTGGAGCGCAAGCAACAGGATGAATTTGTTAAGCAACACGAAGCACGAAGGATCTGCAGCAAGCTCAGAATTGGGAACAAGGATGGCACAGTGTCTGGAGGAGCGAGAAGTGAAAAGTGAAAAACCCATTCGCCCTATCAAGTGACATCATCAATTTCAGTCTATTTTGCACACAGTCGACTTGTGGCCCCCGACGCGTCGGTTCGAGTCCAGTGCAACAATGCCAAAGGACATTAACACCCAGGCGGAGGAGCCAAAGAGACCTTATGGGGTTTCCCTGTAAAATTCAATTCGAAAAGCTTTAGTTGGTCATTGAATCAAGCGCTTTGAGCGGAAGGACCAAAGAGAACCAAGAACCCCGGTTCCTTTGATAATCAATCTCATTACCCTCGTTGTCGGAGTTGCACAATCAAGGGGTAGTTTACACTCCTTATGCTACTCCCATTTCGCTTTCTCGTCCTGCCCCCAATGATCGATTTTATAATGAAGCTATAGCTTAGTTAAAACAAAAAACTGTTTGTTTTGCGGGGGTGTGAGAGCGCACAGGATAAATTGTATCCACTTGCAAGCAACCACCCAACATGCCAAAGAAAAAAGAAAAAAACAAAACGGAAATCAACCCCCAGAAGGATGTACATATTTTTACGGATAACGTTGCAATGGAAATCTGTCGAGTGAAGTTTACCCTCTTAACCAAATGCGATAATGCTGTAAGATATATTTACATTAACAGCACCGGAGTTCGTTGGGTGGAAGGTGAAATGTGAAGGGTCAGGGCATAGTCGGGCATAACCGAATAACCGATGCGTTCAAGGATTTTCTTTTGTTCTGCATCTTTTTACCCAATTACCAAGGCAACTATTCACTAGTCTCAACCAAAGGCTAATTAAATACCCTTTGCATTTAAATCCTGATATCTTTCACCACCTAATTAGCTTGTCTTGCACAAAGGCTATGGCAATCAAGGACTGTGGATGCTCAAGCAGCGGAAAGAGTATTATGGAAAAAATGAAGGACCTTTGGCGAGCAAGGCGGAAGTGAATAGCCAGTGTCCTCCGCCCCGTTTTTCCCACCCTGTTTCCCCCCTCCCCCAGCTGCTGTGCCTGTGCATACATATGCATAAAAAGGAAGAAAATGCCATCAACATTGCAACGTTGTAATTGCCAACAGGCAATGAAGAGGCGCAGCCAAAAGGATACGAGGGGCTGGTAGGAGAGAAAGCGCAGCAAACTGCCAACTGCCACATGTCCTGCCAGCTTGGCTCGAACAAAAAAAGAGTCCTCAGCCCGGTCAGTCACCAGCAAACGAGGGTTGCTTGTACAGTACTAAAAAGGATATTTGAATCGTTATTTAATATATTAAGGAATGAACCAAAAATATAACCCAGACATAAATATTTCTTTTAAACTAAAATAATATTATTAAGTAGAAATCAATTTTACCTTATCCATGTGCAGTATTTTGTGACTTTGAAGTTTCTGAAATGTCCTGTTCTTCCTTTTGATAACTGGGCCATCAACTTTTCCATCATCCTTCTCACAGGACATGTGCGTTGGGCCGACTGTGCGACATTTTTAGCACACGGCTAATGTGTTTTGGCCGACGCTGATGCTGCAGCAGCTCTCTGTTTCCAGCTCCCAGATCCCAGCTCTCTGGTTTCGGGGAGGAGGAGGAGAGGAAAGCTGTGACATGGAGATGGAATAACGAGAGGCTTGCGGTTCACTCCTAACTACCAACTGCACTGGCTGACTGATGAGCCTGGTTTCCCGGCGCCTGGTTTAGTGTTTGCCGATTTGGCCAGCCCCAAACTCTATTCATTATAATCAGGCCTGATTATGTCTGGCCGAAAGTTAAGCGGGCCAAGTCAATTCGAGAGTGTATTTATTCAACTGACGGACAAACTGGGAAGCCAGAAGGGATGTGTATAAAATAAAAAGTCATAAAAATGGACCGCTAATCCAAGTAGTTGAAGCGGGGACCCTTTTGTATTTTTCTTCCTCTCTTTTATTTTTTGGGCACAAGCAGATGAAGCGGTTGCCTTTATTTTTGGGGGGTCTTTCCCAAACCCAAACTCTTGCTCCTCACCAATGACGATGACAAGGGTGCTTTGCCGCCTCACTGACTAAATAAAATTGGAATTTATTATCATGATTTGTAGCAAGAAGAGGCAAAAGAACCTCCGCCAAGAGACAGCGGCCAAATGGCGGGCATAAAACGAGCAGCAGCAGCAGCAGCTAAAGTCCATTCCTTCTCATCAGATTCCCAACTCTGTGACTCATCCTGAATCCCGAACGCCTAACCCAAAGTCATAGACTTAGATAAGTGAGCGAGGCATTCTTAAATTTATATTCCCCGCCAGAGATTTAAATCGTTCTGGTCAAAGTTGAAGTCACCGCCCACAGTGGGCGTGGCACTGGCAGAAGGCTTAACTGTGCAGCTTCTTTGCTGGTTTATTAGGGTTTTCCCGCAAGCGCTGCTAAGGCGATTTGCTGCTATTCAAGCTGATGCAGCTTCAGCCTCGTACCACGGGCCGTATGCGCGATTTTGCTGACTAGTCCTGGTGGGCGCTTTTGTGGTAAGTGGCAACGGGCAACTGGCAACTGGCAACTGGCAAACCGGAAACTAGAAACCAGCAAGTGGCACTGGCAGCTTAAAGCTATCAATGGTCCACTGAGTGGCAGGTTTTCTAATTGCAGCGACCGCAACATGAGCGAAAAGATTTATGAGTCAGGGCGGGAGGAGAGACTTATATTAAGAGTGATTTTAAAGCACTTTTAAATCATTTCTAGTATTGTATTTAATGTTTAGTATTTTGATTAGAATCTTAACTTTTTTTTGGCCTAGACTTCTTATCTCATTATAATTAATTAATACACTTTAAAGAGAAAAGTTACTTAGGAAAAAATCGGAATCCCAAGACGTTTCCTATTTGATACTTTAATGATACTTTGATCTTATAAAAATATCACTGCCTTCAAGCATTTGTTTTCATTTTCAAAAATTAAATTAAATATTTAAAAGCTATATTAAAGTTATTTTATCTAAAATTGCTTTTTATAACCGTTCAGGGTATAATAATTTTTGTCAGAAGCTCGAAACGCAGTAAAGGAGTCATTTTCAACCCTGTAAATCTTGATCAGCA